GAAGGAGGAAGCAATTGTAACAATTCCCGTCACAAGTATAGGAAGAGGAAGCGAATTAGGAAGGACTGTACCGCTAGCAGAGTACAAAATAAGCTCAAAAGTGGGACCCATTCTGTGGAATGGGTCCATTCTGTGGAATGGGTCCGTTCTGTGGACTAAACAATGATTCTATTAATAAATAATAATTCTGCATTTTGCCCATGCCTGGATCCTATCCTCTCTTAAACGTTATTCTACGGTTTGGAGAAAAATATCATCAGCAAAATATTGTGATTACACTAAAGTTGGTTGAATGAATGTCTGAATTTGTACAAGCACATCTTCAATACTTTTCTATGATATCTAACGTTGATAAGGACAATTCAATACAACCTCTATAGGATTTCTTAGAATATTTAATATAGGAAACACAGGTTTGTTGAAAAACTACGAACCCCCTCCAGCCACTTTCAAGCTACAGTTCTACACAGCGCGAGCGTGGAAAATTTCAAACGGCTAAGATGTGGTTTTAACACATGTTATTCCTAAATCCTATAGGAGTGACAATATCGGAAGAAGAATGGCAATACTGGGAGGAACATCAGAACAGAACCCTACAAATCTTTGCCAGATTAGAGAAATTAGCTATTTTTATGTAATAGTATAACTTATTGGATGTATATCATTAATTATATGTTTATTAAATAAACAATTGGGGGTGAGGTACAGCTAACCCCGTGATTTTCATATGAGCGATAAAAATAACATGACGAGTAAAGATGGTTAACTTTAAGGCTTGGGGAACCAGCATTAATAGCGCCTGGGGAGTGGGGTAGTAGGACAGGATTTTCTCAATTAAACATTACATGTGATCACTGATCATACTAAACACGTAGATTTTGACACAGCTCCACAATAGCGCATGCTATTGTAGTCCAATTAGTTCAAACAATTTACAATCTCTTAGAGACTACAGTTATTTTCGTTTGCCTTGAATTATTGGTAGCTTTGCAAACGTTCGATAAGACAATTGTACTGGGTCATCAATCCGGCGGCATTCAGAACTTACAAAAATAGTTCTCTGCTAGGTCTTCCGACTGACTTATTGTACTGCTATTTGAAACGTCCATGTTTCTAAAAGATGTCAGTGACGGTGAAGTGTCCAATTCACGGTTATATGGAAGGTTTCGTGCCGAAAGACAGAAAAGAAGCGGTAAATCTGGCAAGAGGGAAGGTCCGGTGTGGAATAGAGGGCTGCAGGAAGTACGTTTTAGTGCAAAAGCAGTACAAATCAGTACTGGTGCAGACATTTGACCTTACTTTTGAACCAAAAACGTCAAATTAAGCGTGAAACGAACTTTAAATTAAAATCTATAATGGATTGATTATTTCGTAGTAAGTTAAAACGAACTGGAGCTATCTTTAATTTGACTGCACATTGACTGCTCTGGTAGGTCGATCATTATTTAAAGTAAGGGGGTTATTGTTTCATCATAAATTGAATTCAGATTGATTATAAGACCAATTATCCCAATTATATAAAAAGCTCAGTTATGAAATACCTTATGAATCATATTTATATTCGACATAATTCTGGTGACCTAAATGATTTGGGAACGACAATATGGAATTTTTTGCCGAAAACCACCGCATTTCGTACCCCAAATTAAATCATGGTATTCGGGGATTTTTTTCATTTCTTTATTTTACAAAAATAAAACCAAATATTTGAGAAAATCAATAAAATAAAATATTTCTTCTTGATCTTCTGGTTCAGGGACGTTTCTCTCTCCAGTAGGCACCTCTAACAAGCTGTTTCATCTTATAAACAGTTTCTCCGGCGCCTTTGAAAGTTAGTTTTAACTGGACTTCCAATCCTTCAGACGGAATGGGAGACCGCCGGTGTTTGTTATCCTCCACCACTCCCGAAATTTTACCGCCGTGGCAAATGAAATAGTAGCGGAGCTTACTGACTTCTAATGGAACGTGTCAAACCGTCATGAATCATATTTATAACTTACACCCACTATATTGATAGTAAATCTATTAAGTCATAATTAAGAAAATACGCGAAAAATTATTTTGGGAAAATAATGATGGTGACCTAAATTTTGGTAGTCCGAAAATATGGTGTTTTTTTTCCGGAAAACCACCGACTTTCGTACCTTTTAAATTATATATCTCGCAAGGTACTTAGTTTTTATCTCCTTTTCAAAGCACAAAAGTCGTTTTAAAATTTACTAATACTATATACTCAAAATGTCTTTGAAGAATCGGGGCGTATAAACCTCAAATGCTGTTGGTGTGCACAATACAATTGCCTGTACAGTAAGGTAATAGTAACAATATTTTTGTGCACTAAATTAGAAGCTAGAGTAGCGGAATTAACTAAAATATTTAATATTGACCCCAACAGGTAGGTAGGTAAGGTAACCAAGATGGTTAATTGATATATAAATTTTATTCTAGTGTTAGATAATTCTCAAAGGTCTGCTGTACTGCAGGAGGGAACCAAAACTTTGGAGAGTTGTGTGTTCGTCTTGTCAGCCAACCAAGAAGCTTGTTAAGGGGGCAGGGGGGGTCTTTATGAAATTTCTCTCGAAATTGATTTTATAGTTGTTTCTAATAGAGGGGAGTGATATCTATCTGCTACTTTTGGTCCCATGGAAAAATTTTGTTCCTAGCCGAAATTATTGCCGGTCAAAGGTCAGCGCTCATGTGTAATTGTATTGCGCGAGCGATTTTCAATCGCGCGCCCTGAAAATCGAGTCTCAAAATCTATCTTCTCCTACATTTTTTGAGCAATCACCTTGAAACTTTCAGGATAAGTTCTAAGGACCATTTAGAAACTTTTGCTCGTTTTAGAATTTCGAGATAGGCCTTTAAAAATTTTTTATTCGATTTTGAAAATCTTGGACCTCGTTTTTTGACGATTTTTTCAGGTCCAAGATTTTCAAAATCGAATACAAAATTTTTAAAGGCCTATCTCGAAATTCTAAAACGAGCAAAAGTTTCTAAATGGTCCTTAGAACATATCCTGAAAGTTTCAAGGTGATTGCTCAAAAAATGTAGGAGAAGATAGATTTTTAGACTCGATTTTCAGGGCGCGCGATTGAAAATCGCTCGCGCAATACAATTACACATGAGCGCTGACCTTTGACCGGCAATAATTTCGGCTAGGAACAAAATTTTTCCATGGGACCAAAAATATCTGGTAGATATCACTCCCCTCTATCAGAAACAACTATAAAATCAATTTCGAGAGAAATTTCATAAAGACCCCCCCCCCTGCCCCCTTAACTAAATTTTAAGCCTAGGTATCTTGTGAGACTTTAGCAAGAGTAGAAAAATAGGCTATTTATGACATGTATATTGTACACAATATAATATTATGGTATAATATACGGATATGGACATGATATTAATATTATGCCATTTTTCGTGTTTTAAATGAAAAATTGAGGATGAGATACGGATTAAAACCAATCGATCTTCAGTCGAGCGATAAAATTTGAGGCCGGTTGGAACAGAATTTACAGCGGCTGGGGCGATAGGACAGGATTAGTTACACATCGCCTGTTCATGTTATATATACGATACTGGTTTGAGATTGTTGTAAAGTTAAATAATAGTAATAAACAGTGCCTGTGATTATACTAAACACAGATTTTGATGGAGATCCACAATAGCGCATGCTATTAGTATTAATATTTCCATCCCTGATGTTCAACCATAATGCTGTACGTCAATTGTTCTCGTTAATCGGAAAATCTGTCTTCTCTCATCCATACCAGGTAAAGATTGTAATACTTTCAAATTAAAACCCATTTTCTGACGTAAGTTGTTTCTGAGATTTTAGTTTTTGTGACAAACTGTTATTTTATAGCATTTAATAATTTCAGAATGGTCACTACCGTGACAGTGAAATGTTCAGCTTCACATACTAATGAAGATTACAAGGTGGAAAACAAGAAAGAAGCGGAGAAACTGGCAACAGGAAAAGTCGTGTGTGCTGAGGAGGGATGCAGGGAAAGGACTCTAGTTACGAAGAGCTGCAAAAATATATTGTCGCAGAATTTTGAACTCAGTAGTAGAGTTATAACAGCTCAGTAGATGTTACATTTAATTTCCTTAACCAACCCACAATCCCCAAGCAACCCTTTTTTTTCGATATTAAAAAACTGAAAAAAAAGGGATAAAATGAATAAAACACCGAACAAATATATATCTAGATTCTGGGAGTATTTTGAATCGTTTAAGCTTTCCCAGAGGATCTGTAACAAGAAACTCCTTCATTCAACCCGGACATTTCGCCATCATAACATGATACTAAGAACACAATTTTCTTATGACAAACTTTAACGATTTTATGCTGTAAAATTTTGTAAATTTGTTGATGGCAACGATGATGTTACAAGTTTTTGTCGACACATGTATTCTGCACAGCCTTTTAATTTGTACTCTATTCAGTCATCAGATGTGGAAAACAATAAACGACCACCAGCTACTATTGAGTTTGCAATTGCAAATACCAGACCCGTTTCATTCGGGATAGTTAGACCGAGTTGAGCAATGCTTTTTTTACTCAAGTATTCATTTTATTTTACTGTTGATTTCCGCGGAATGGTTGGAGAGGGTTTCCTCATTTTTGGAAATGTTTAGCGTCAGAGAATATTCCTCCTGTTGATCGCTCAGAACACTTCCCAGCCAATCAAGAAGCTTGTTGAGTCGCTCGATCAGATAATTCCGATTCCATTTCTCAAACGTCATGAAATAGCTAGCTGAGTATCAAGCCGGCTGTGGAATGACGGCTGCCGCCCTGATAATAGGGAGGATGAAAAAAAGTAACAATTTTCGTGAAAAGAATCTTAGAATCTAATAGGAACTCTTCTGTGATTGGAGGATATCGATCAACGTGGTGTGTTCCTGACCAAGTGATTGGACATCTTGGAGCTCACACTTGAAATTCATTCGACTATTTATATTGTCATCCCGCCCTGATAATAGGGAGGATGAAAAAAGTAACCATTTTTGTGAAAAGAATGTAATAGGAACTCTTCTGTGATTGGAGGATATCGATCAACATTCAACGTGGTGTGTTTCTGACCAAGTGATTGGACTTCTTGGAGCTCACACTTGAAATTCACCCGACTATTTATATTGTCATCCCTGGTGTTCAACCATAATTCTGCACGCTTATACCGTCAATTGCTCTCGTTAATCAGAAACACCACTTGTTCTCATCCATACCAGGTAAAGATTATAAACACTTCCGAACTGAAACCCATTTTCTGACCTAATTTGTCTCTGTCGTTTCTGAGATTTTATATTTTAAGACAAGCCGTAATTACATAGCATGAAACGATTTCAGAATGGTTTTTACCGTGAGAGTGAAATGTAAAGACGGACATCTTAAAGAACATTTCAAGGTGGAAAACAAAGAAGAAGCGGAGCAACTGGCAAAAGGAAATGCCCATTGTACTGAGCATGAGGGAGGATGCAAGAAAATAACTCTAGTTACGAAGAGCGACAAAGATAAATTGAGACAGCAGTTTGACCTCACATGCAAAATTTTAACAGCTGATTAAATGTGAAATTTAGAAATTAAAAAATCGGAAAAATAGTTAAAACTAATAAAGAAAAACCCGAAAAAATATTTTTCTAGTATTACTAATTATGAGTATTTTTAATGGTTCATACCATTAACTGTCTAAATGAATAATTAATTGTTTGAAAATGTTGATTGTTATGTTGATTTGTGCTTCAGTCTTCATTATATTTGATTTATATATGTTTATCTTTAATATCGTCTCATCATTTGTTAGCAGTTATATACTCAAATCATTAGAGAAACAGAATGCCTACAGTATGCAATGGAGGGAAACATGACTCTGTGCCGGCATATAGCACATTTGGTCCTCTTGTAACAGTTCCTGTTCTCTACAGAGGTCTTGCTAAACTTGAACTGCTAAAACTTTACTCTATATTAAGTAGAGTTGTGAAGCAGTACGCAACAGCACTTTCTGAACATATCGACGAGCAACTTATAACAACATAGTCGGTGCGATTATAAACTAATTGCACTGATTATAACATCAGAACCGTGGAGTTATATGCGAATCTAACTGCATGTATAATTCGATTACATCAGTTATTGCACTCGGCTGTGCCTCGTAAAATAACTGCAATAATCGAACTCGGCTTTGCCTCGTGCGATTATTGTATCAATTTGCACTCGGCTGCGCCTCGTGCAATTAACACTGTAATCGCATTATGCGCAGTTAGATTAGCGTTTAAAATAGTACGATTTGAATAGTACAGTACTAATTTAACTAAACTTAGTCGTTAAAAAAAGGCTGACCTGTTGCAGGATTTGTCGAAACACTTCCCGTGTAAGTCGTGAGGACAGAGAGGTATGTCAGTCTTGATGCTGTTGGTGAAGGTACTGCTGCTCAAAGTCAAGTGACACTTTATTCTGTAGTACGGGCTAAACCTGATTATTATTATGTTAATTAATAATTATAATCCATAATAATATGTTAAAATCAATAATCATGTGTTCTTAGAAAAGTCACAGAAATTGAGATAAGAGACTCCCAACTTCTATAATATTATGTTCAATATTATGTTAGGGGGGGGGGGGGGGGGGGGGGGGGCCTAGACGCATCGAAAATCCGAAAAGGGCCCTAGAAAGCGGGGCTTTTTGAGGCCTTTTGACCCTGACCACTATTTGATAGTGTTTATGGACCATAATCTCCATGTAAATACACTCAAATAAACATAAAAGTACTGTGCAAGTAGTCAGATAATATCATTAAAGCACTTTACTACTTAGCATATATCAAACTTGATGAAATTTAAGTTAATTCTAGGGCCCTAAAAGGCTACACATATTGAAAATCCAAAAAGGGCCCTAGAAATCGGGGCTTTTTGGGGCCTTTTAGGGCGTTGGCCCCCCCCCCCCCCCCCATGTTAGCTTTTCGAACTAAAAAAGTAGAGAAGGTAACATAATATTGGAAACACAACACGGTCGATACCACAAAGCTCCTATAATTATAACTCGTACCTGTAAGATCTAAAAGCAGTGAGAGGGCTCTTGTAGGGCTGATATCTGCTGTGAGAGCACACACTTAGCTCAGTTGAAGGATGGCAAATTGGAATGAACTCAGTCACAGGTCTCACAACAGGAGGGGGAGGTGAGGGTCCAGGTGTAAGAGAAAGTTGTGATCTGCAATATTCCAGTAACGACTCTGTTGAGAGAAGAGAAGAGTGAGCAGATTGGACGTCTTGTGGTTCACTCCCGTCCTTGTTCACCGCTTGTTCAATCGGATTCTCGTCCTCTTCAGAGGAAGATTTATCACTGGCTAGTTCTCCCGGCTCCAATTCAGCTGTAACACTCCCTCCCTCAGCTGTAACACTCCCTCCCTCAGCTGTAACACCCCCTCCCTCTGCTGTAACACTCCCTCCCTCCTTATTATCGAGTTTATCTTCTGAAGGTTTTACAATAATGGTTGAATCTTCTTCAGGCTTCTTAGGATTTTCCACTTGTTTTTGAATAGCCTGGTCTTTTTCTGGTTGGTTAGGTGCGTCATTGATAATCTCCTCACTTTTGCTACCACTTCCGTCTCTGTCACACGAAGAAGAGACATCAACTTCACTGCTTAAAGTGGAGGGTTTTGCAGCTTCTTTCTTCTTCCTGGAAGTAATGCATGATGAGATTCTACGTGAAATATTAATATTTGGCGTGTTTGTTAGTGATGTTTGTTACGTTTTTGAATTGTTGCCGAAAATATAAACTGAATGATATATGTTGGCCACTGTACGAGTAAAGCGAGATGTAGAAACAAAGTTAGCTCTTTAATTTCATAAAAAGGCTGTATTTTTAACGATTTCTCTTCTAGTATAAACTTATGCCCTTATCGAAGACAGCGTGATGGAATCATGTATTCATGCGGCATAGTTTGGTTTCGTGATCAATTATTACATCATTGAACGAACTTCTTACCTAACTACTTCGGCCCACTTTTCAGGATGATCCAATCGTAGCACCAGATTCTGGAGGACAGCACTGCGCGTGCGCAGCTCAAGAATACAAACATTGCGCCGCTCGTCTATTGTGTTTAGTATCTCCTCACTCTTCACAACAATGTCGCGGGTACGTGACAATTGTTTTTCCAATGCTTGCACCCGCTCACAATGTCGCCCGTGCTCTTCTTGGTGCTGATTTCTCTTCATGGTATACTGAATTAGTCGCTGTTCTAACTGCGCTACCTGGTAAGAGGACAGTTTGAGAGAACGAGGACAAAATCGTTTGTATAGTGAAATGTTTGTTAACGTACGCGTATGTTCGTACTTCGTAGCTAGATTGAGAGACAATAGTACCTTAAGAGTGAGCGTGCTCCGTTGCCTGTTTATTTTTAGCTTAGTTCCACCCGCCGCACCTGATTAAATAAAAAATCAGTATAACTCTTATTATTATTAAGGATAAAGTACAAATTGGTCCTGCTAATTTGAAATTCTTTTTACGTAAATTAAGGAAATATTAAAATTTCTGAGCAGGAATACCTGATCGAGGGACAGGAGACAGCAGGACTTTCTGTTTTACAGGGGTTGTAGCCTGATCACTTTCACTTTCACTTTCACTTTCACCTAGCTTTATCACCTGGATTAAATAAAGACCGTCATCAAAACTCGTATGCTAGATATGCTTCCGGATTGAAATATTAATAAGTTTATAAAGTACCTATACCGACCCCATTGGGACTGATTTTTTCCCAGTCAAGTTTCGGTAATATATAAATAGATTTTGGCCGATCTTGAATCCTGCCAGCTGGTTTTTAGCAGAATTAACACAATATGGACCTATAGCAGGCAGAAATTGACCCAGTGTGTACCAGTTCGATTAGATTACATATGCTAATATAAAAACTCACAATCGGGTTAATTTTGGGAGTAATGCGTCTCAGGAGCTTTTCTCGCTCAGCCTGAGCCTCAGGGTTCAATTTGGTATCTTTCTGTGGGATCCTGAGGTCCTCATTAACTAAAAGTCGGGAAATCAACTTCCTGGTATTTTCGTTGCTTCGTTTCACAGCCGCGGGAGTGATAGTGCTGAGGGAGCGAGGCATGAGACTCTCACTACCCTCTCCTAACACCACGTCTGGTGACGTCATCACGGTTGGTGGCGTAACCGCTTTTTGTGTTATGCTGGCAAGAGGATCGGTGGGTTTCGAGAAGGTGGTGGCCGTGGCTGTCTTAGGAACAGATTTGGTCTTCGACTTAATAGATATTGTTTTGTTGTTTTGGTTCTTCGAAGGTACAGCAGGATTCGGGGGTTTGTTTGAAGTTTCTGTAAGGTCTTCAGTTTTACTATCGGTGGTTTTGAATGTAGTTAGGGTGTTGGGAGGTTCTGAAGACGTTTGGCTGGTAGGTGGAGTTGGTTGTTTCTCTCCTTTTGGTGGAGGGCTGCTTCGTGGAGAAGGTAGAGCTTTTGTCTTTATTTGTACAACCGGTAAATTAGTCTTTACGTCCTGAAATATTATGTTCATTATTCTGTCTGTTCAATTTAACGATTCCCCTTATATAGGATTTCCATTCCTCTACTCGAAATATGATATTTGATTTTATGTGTACGTGTATATTGTATAATATGAATCTTTAAAAATTCGACTAACTGATTGGGTAGGAGGCTTCTCGGTTTCTTTTGTTTTCTTTATCATGGATTGAAGAAGAAGCTCCCTCATCCCATCTAAATCATCTTCGCTGATTTTCCGGTTCAATCTTCCTTTTCCAAGATTCACAATTTTAAGAACTGTTTTACAATGAGGATCTCTTTTTTCTTTCGTTGGTAGATTCTTCTGGACATTCTGAGTAGCAACCAACTTACACTGATCGTTACTCTGAATGACCTTGACTGTATGTGCCTCGGAAATGTTGGAAGGTTTGCTACTGGCAGATTTCAATAAGAAACTTTCCACAACAGCATCACTAGAGTTAGTTTTCTGAGTCTCTGTAAAGGTACTTTTGAACTTGTCAACTGCTGCTTTATCTCCTTCCTGGAAATGAGCTGGCTTTAAGCATGTATAGCTTTAACAACATCACTATCATACTAATGTCACCAATTTTAAAACACACCAGTCTAGATATATGGCCACTTGGGTCATTACATATTAATGGACGCACTTCCCAGGTTTTCATTCTGGTTTCAAGAACAAGAAGAATAAGTATTTTACCTCCAAGGAAGAATGTTTCAGGATGGTTACTTTGATTTCTTTGGGCGATATCTCACTGGAAGGAGGATCCGGCTGAAAATATATGCGATTACCTATGAGAAAAATTGATAGATTTCAAACCACCGAAAATGCAATCTACTAAGTTGAATGTCTAACTTAGTTTAAGGTCTAAGTTCTAACTCAATCAAACCTTGGGATTTGATTTGTTCTGAACTTTCTCCGACAACTTATAGAACCTCTCGAGTCGCCGCTTCTTCAATTCGTCCAGAGTTTCGTCCATTCTTAAGGGTGTTATGTTTTGAAGGTTCTCAAACTTGGCTGATGGAAGTTTAAATCTAGCTATCCTTGAGTAAGGAAATATCCCAGAAGGTGGCTGCCCGACTTGGCCGTAAATAAACCAACGCTCCTCGGCTGGATCGAAGTGTAGCTCTTCTTTAACCAACTCTAATCTGAGAGGCAACCGACGGGTTAATATTACTATCTTATGCATGGATGAAAAACATCTAGTTTTCAAAGCACAATTTAGGAAGTAAATAAATTTAAGATAAACTCACATATTGAACATTTTAGCCCTTCTCGCTCGAGCTCTTGCTTTCTTCTGCTGCCGTTTCGTTTCGTAAAACTCTCTAAACGAGTTCATATCGATGACAGGAAGAGTTTTTACCATTTCTAATACTTGAGGAAATGTGAAAATGGGAGCCGATTTCTTGCGTTTGCTTTGTCGTTTGACGAGTGGCTCTCCTTCAGATCCCGAACAGTCAGATTTCCCATCAATTCCTAGAGCCGCAGACCCTAAAATCAAGAGTTTTATTAAGTCAAAACAGCAATGCCGAACAGTATACCATGCCAATTGAGTCCTTTAGATGCCTTTCGTGCAAGAGCGGTAAGCTAAATTAACAGCGTGTGAGGGACGTCACTCTTCAATGAAGTCGTCGCGACATGATATGCACTGTGCATGCATGCGCGCGCGTACGCGCGCAGCATCTTTTCAGCACGAAATGAACTTAAATCACAAAAAATGACAAGCGCCTTCCAATAACGACCTTTCACTAAGCCGTGAAAGTTGCTCTCCGATGTACCTTCATTCGTGTTCCCAGTATCTATTTCTTCTTCCGGTTTCATATTCGTCTCAGAAAAAGGATCTGACTTGGGAGTCACTTTAATCGTCCGGATGCTGTCGAGAAGCTTTAACCTCAATACTGCAGCGTCCTCCTCCTCCACTGTAAGAAGAATCAGGTTACAACTTACACTCAGAACAAATAAAAATGAATCACGTACGGAAATGTCAAAAGGTGTTAAAATGTGACGTACGGAAAAATGTTACCAGTTAAATGTTACAAAGGTGTTACATGTTACACAGTAATATATAATTCCTACGTATATTAATTGAATAACACAGGGAAATGTTTGTGGGATGGCGAGGCACATCATGTTACAACGAGTGCAGCCAAGTTCACATAATATTCACCTTTTTCTTCATCAGATGCATCCAGTAGGTTATACCTGTTATTTACATCTTCATCTTCACTACTACCCTCTCTATTTTCCTTGGTACCTTGCCCCTTTTCAACACTTGGAACAAGTCTTCTCTTTATTTCATCGCTGATTGTTGCTACGGGAAATCCTCTTGTGTCAGTGGATTCGTCACTGCTGGAGCTGCTAGAGGAGCTGCTACTCTCTGACCCGCTATTATCAGAGAACAGGCTCTCTGAACTTGACACTCGTGATTTAACCGACTTGTGATCGTCAGATGGCACCTCGTCCGCGGCGGTCGCTCTTGTGACGTCATTTTCAGGAGTTGTGATCTCTCGTGACTTTCTGTCTGTCATTTTCTTATCTCTTGGAGTCACAGAGCCGTCAGATTGGACACTGTCCTCAGCATAGCTGTCTTCACAGTAACTACCTTCGTCAGACTGGAATATACGTGTGTTAGATATCATAAATACAACCGCATCGAGGAGGTATCAGTCAAGTCGTGTGCTTATTATTGAAAAATAAAAATTTTGTGATTTGGAGCTCAACTTACCGAATCTGATGAAACTATGTAAATTTCTTTCGGGTCCATTTTTACAGGAGAAGATAAGTCTATAAGTTCAGGTTTAACATCAGGTAAAGGAATTGAGCTAAGGAGCACGGTATCAGTAGGTGGAGGGGCAGGTCGAGCAGGGAGAGGAGGAGGTAGAGGAGGCAGAGGAACAGAGGCTAGGTCGATAGGAGGACGGGGAGGGTTGAGTAAGGGGGATCTGAAAGGAGGGGGAGGAGGAGGGAGAAGACAAGGTGCTCCTGGATCTGGCCTGGGTCTGAATGCTGGGTACCCATATGTCTGTGTTGGGACCTGCCAGCTGTCCCGAGCTGAAGCAGAGTGATAGAAAGGTTGTGGGCAGTCCCTCATCTCCCTAATTTGACCGTACAAGTGAGTTTTAGAGTGGTGTAATGTGAGACGGGGATCAGAAGCTGAGGGAGGTGGAATGTATTTCTCAACCTCGTCCTCGTTATCACTGTCGAGTTCCATAGGCATTTCCTGGTAACTATCAGCCACATCCACACTCGTAAACGTCTTCTTAAATCCTTGGAGTGCGCTGTTCGGTGGTAACATTTCACCCTGAAGTATAGGTAGATTATAAACCCTCTACATTAAGATAATCTAACCCAATATTCAGTAAAACCTCGATTTAGCGAACCTCTTTCATATTATTGTGCTAAATGTTCCCTTATATAAACCCACGATTTCTGTAAATCGGGGTTTCCCAGTATTGAATATACTGGACTCTTGCAGATATCTTCAGTGAATTTCATAACATCATAGTAATTTGTACAATCGGGATTTTACTTACATCGAGATCTTTTGACAAATCAACTTCCTCTGCTTGTTGCTTTTCCACTAGGTGTCTGTAATCTTTTATCATTTGATCTAAATTACCAACTTCTTTCTCTGGTGCTCTCTCACGTCTTTTCTTTTCTGAAGAGTTAAAATCAGATACCCATATTTTATTTTTTAAATTCAAAAAAGTATACCCAAGGTTCGACCGGGATCCTGGCTTAATCCCGGTCCCGGTTAAAATGCCGAATTTTGACCGGGACCGAACCGGGATTTTTTTCTAAAATTTAAAATTGAACGATTTTGAACGATTTTTTTGAAAAGCTGGAATTTTCCCAATTTTAAACAAAACTCTTTACCAATTTATCACCAAAACACTGTCAGAGTTAAGCCAGTTTGTTGGGTGAGCTGTGCTTGTAATAATCAGTAAAGGATACCATGGGGTTGTAGTGTCAGAGCTTCAGAGTTGGTTGCTGGTTTGTTGGGTAAGCTGTGCTTGTGCTTGTAATCAGTAGCGGATACCAGGTTTTAGTGTCAGAGTCAGTAAATTAACGCATGCTACCCTACGCAATGAATCATCTGATTCGTCGGTAAATCTAACTGCCTCTTCATTAGATTCCGTAGCCATATTCTCGTCCTCCAAGTCGTCGTTGTTCAGATTGTTCGGGCAAGGTAATATAAGTATAACCAATAACCAATCAGGAGGGAACTTGAGCTGATATATATTTCGTAGTTTATGGCTCTTCACTCTTCAGTTGTATTTGATAATCAAGTTGATTTCTAAGTTTTCCGGCAGGAGGCTCAGTCCGCTATCCCCTACAATGTTTTTCGCCACCTTGAAAGCCCTTTCACTTGCGAATGAGAAAGGAGGTGGACACAGATAGATCCAGACAAGCTGGTTCAGATGGGGTACAGAGTGTGAATTTACACACCTTGGAGTTCTGGCTCCAGCTTGTCCAAATATCTGGTAACCTCTTCCCTTACCACGTCAGAGATCCGGGCCCGTCTGAAGTACTGCATAGGAGTTGGTCAGTTGGTTCCAAGTCGCTGAATCATCGTCAATCTCTCTGACTGAGTCGTCAGTATCACTGTGTCAGGTGTGTCTTCCCTTCTCGATATCACTGTCCGCACTGATTCTTGTACTCTTTCTTTGTCGGAAGCCCACCTTTCTCTTAAACTGGGAGATCAGGAACTCTTTGGCGGCTTGAGATTGCCTTGTAGGTAAAGAGTCGCTCTAATAAACGCGACGGCTAATACCAGTAGTATGTTTTACGATAAAATCAAATGTAGAATATTCTAGAAATCCAATATCAACCAACTTGATCAACCAACTTGCTGACATAGCACATTGTTTAAATACTGCACCTAACGCCATTATTGATTATAATACATATATTATAAGATCAAAGAATATTGAAAGTAACATTTTTGTTAGCTACGATCCCGGTCTTAATCCCGGCTTAATCCCGGTCTTATTTCCGGTCCCGGCACCTTTTTCCAGTCCCGGGCCGGCCAAAAAAGCGGTCCCGGTCGATCCTTGAGTATACCTAGTACCATATATCAATATTCAATAATTATTTTGATAACATTTTTGACAAAAAACCCCAATTTACCGCAGAGTTTGGGGGAAAAGAAACATCCGCAGTAAATCGGGGTCCGCGGTAAATCGGGGTTTGTTTGGTTTAGATTATGTATGTTTAGCCCTATATGGGGGAAAAGAAATGGCTGCGGTATATCGGGGTATGCAGTGAATCAGGGCGCGGTAAATCAGAGTTTTACTGTATAATGTATCAAATGCAAAAGTCCTTAAGATCATGAATGTCATTTTCCGAGCTAACATAAACATAGTAGAGGAAATATTGAACTCCTGACTAGTGACTACCCTGACTAGTTACATTCAAAATGAAGGAATGAGCTTGGAGGGAGTTCAGTTAATTCTGCCCAGTAGCTGTCACTGAGCAATTGAGTAAATTTGAAAAATCAATAAGTTTCAGTTACCCCACAACTAAAAACTCACTGTTTATTCTCCTTTTGTCCTCCTTGCCCTCCTTTTTTGAATTCTCGAAATACTCCTGTAAGTCAGATTTGAGGCCTGGGTTGTCTGTGATCATGTTAACAATTTCCAGGAGACCCTCGACAATGTTTCCGGACTGTTCATTATTATCTTCTCGTCTACCTCTCTGTGCTTCCTGACCACTCTGAAAATGTCCAATTTAATATGAGTGCGTAACGTTATGTACTTCATAACGTTACGTAATTCATAGGCCCTCGTGTTGATAGTTTAATAAAATAATATTCAATCTTCTGTTTTACCACAGACACGACACGACCTAAGCCACGCATTTCACGGGATAACAACAAGCTAATGGACGATAATATCAGAAACCCTGAGTCTTCATCTTACATCATCAATAATTAATCCATAAGTCATAAATTGATGATAGTTTTGCCATGAAGTAGTAATGAACTTACCTTAGGAAGCCATGTGGGGTTGTTTTGCTTGAAATACCGACGAGATCGATTTAATCCAGATCCACTAGCTTCGTCTGTCATCAGCCTACTGGTATTTAAAATTAAATCAAAAACCTCGTTTTGATTTTAAGTAATTTAAAGCTTAAGTAATTGCCAAGAACATTAATACACCTTGCAAAACTTCAATCTGACATGTTTTCTCCATTAGGTGTGATGAATGGTAAAGCAAAATGGTTTTCAGGGTTTTAAAGCAGCCGCAGTAAAGGTTCGCAGGAAAGCAGGTATTGTTTGTACATGTTCTATTGTGGTGAAATAAATGGCCGCAGTAAATCGGGATGCCGTAAATCAGTGTTTTACTGTATATATAGTTTCATTGTATTATTATATAGTTTACATTAAATCTGCCCCTCTACATTCTATATATAACTCCTTTGTTAAGGCTTCTAAGAAAGAGGGTGTTTATGCTAATAGGCCTCACTTTACGTTTGTATGTGATGTGTGAAAGGTAGGAAAAGGAGAGAAAATGCTGCTGCAAAGTCTGATAAATATACTCTTTTGGACAACAAGATTAATGAATATCAAATGATGGAGTAGTTCACTGTTTATGAGTCTCATGATTGAAATACTGATAGTTGGATAATATCCGGTTGGAAGAGACAAGGACAAATGAAACAGGAAGTTAGGAATGTATGCAACATTCATAACTTCCTGTTTCATTTGTCCTTGTCTCTTCCAACCGGATGTTATCCACCTATCAACAAGATTAATGCAGAGAATAATTTTTTATTGTTTGAGTTGAAAGTGAAACAAATTTTAGTGAAACAAATTTGAAAAGAGTCGAAACTCCTCAGATAATTTAAGTAGTTACTCCTCAGTCTGTGACTCTAACAAGAATTGTAACGCTCGGAATGATAAGCAAAGAACAGAGAGTCTGACTCAAGTGTTTTCAGTAGATAAGGACAAAGGTCGAAGAGGGTAGACTCATCAGCTGCGATCAGTTAGGTCGCATCTGATACTCTTAAAATACTCGAATCATATGGTCTTCATCCTCTGTACAATTATCGTACTAAACTATTACTCCTGTTCTATAAATTATTAGCGATCCTAGAAGAATCTGTACAGAAAAGAGTTAGGGTTTTCTTGCTTTTGAATTTTAATTACTTTCAACACTACTATATAACAAATAATTTGAGGACCCCCAGTGGGAACTAATGCCTCGGTAAATGTAACGACCATTACAGGTTGTATGTCAATGTAAATGGTTGTTGCACGATAAAGTTATCTCAAAGACATCCTAAGGACTATCAGACATCGGTTTTTAAAGCAGTTTACTCCCATCTATCACCTAAAGATTATCAGACATCACTTATCCTTATCCTCCGGAGTGCTACAAAGGTACTGTAATCATTAACTAAATTTCGAACAGTAGCATCTTTTTGTGATAAACTATGTCTAGAATACCAGTTGGCTCAAGACATTACAATCTGAGATATCGAGGGAATTCTGTTAAATTCCCCAGCAACGGCTCTTGTCCTACTGATAAATGTTCAAATTGTTTAACTCTATTAAGAGAGAATGATAGTCTTCGTCGGCAAATTTCTTTTCTCTATAAACAATTATCAGAAAGTGACAGTGCACTCAAAGTTCCCCTCAGCGATGGTTCACTTATCCCTGTGTTGCCCCAGGTACCTGATCACTGTGAACAGTCTATCAATGTTCCCCTCAGTAATAGGTCATCCTCGCATCTTGTTTCTGAGTTAACCCAAGAGCTATCCAAATTAGCAGAAGACAGTGAACATTCAGCAGAAATTATCAATTTGGAAAATCCCAAACACTCTGTAAATGGTGACAATGATGTGACCAACTCTATCAATCCATACCAAGATTTGAGTCGAGGAGTTTTTCAGTTTGTTGACACTGCCAAGTTAGATATAGAAACCCACTATACTCATAAGTTTGAGAATAGGGCAGTTGCATATTACGGGGACTTTCCCTACGCTTACAATGGAGGCTTTCATAACACAAGGCCAGTAGCAGACAATCCATACCTAAAGTCTATTTTAGAACGCTTACGCTCACAGTTCCCAAAATTGAAATTCAATAGTGCTATGATTACCAAGTATAGAAATGGTCAGCAAGGAATTCCCTTTCACTCGGATGACGAGAGGTCAATTTCACCAGGCTCCATGATCTCCACCATCTCTTTAGGGGCTACTAGAGTCCTAAGCTTCAGATCCAAACTTAGAGCTCATATTGCTGACCTCACCCTCTCCCATGGTGACATAATGAATATGACCAGACAATCCCAGACCAGCTTTGAACACAGCCTCATCCAGGACAAGTCTGAAACCATGAGAATAAGCATTACTCTGCGCCTAATTGATGGCAGCGCAACCTTATCTACTCTGTCTGATGTTTCCAGTCAAGTTAAGAACACTGAACCCTCGGCCCCTAAGACTAGATCAATAGAACATTCTGGTAAATCTTTGTGTGTCTACATTAGCTCTAGTATGTTCTCCAAATTAGAGGGAGAAAAGCTATCGTCCAAACATCATGAGGCACATGTATTCAGCTACCCTGGTGCCACAGCCAATGCAATCAATGAACGGTTTCAATCAGATGTAAGAAAAGACACTCTTAATACCAATAATGTGAAAAGCATTGTACTTATGTGTGGTACAAATGACGTGGACTCTATCCTGAACAGCCCTCGCAACATGAGGACTAAACTTCTGTGCCCTGATAGTTTTTCTGGTGATGCTAGAGCTCTTGACTTTACAAACAATTGTATTGAAAAACTTGTACTTTTCCTTCACAAGTGGGCACCTGGAGCTGATATTAAAATTGTTAACTTATTACCTCGGGAGAGTTTCTCCAGAAACAAGGTTATAACTGATATCAATGAGTGTATATCAAATCTGCAAAGAAAATACACCTATGTAAAACTGCTCTCAACCGAGACAAATCGTTTCTTGTTTAGTGATAAGAAAGGCTTTAGAAAATCGTCATTTTTTAGTAGTTATGGAGAGGATAATGTCCATCTCAATGATTAAGGCATAGTTAAATTAGCAAGGCACTTGAAGTATCATGCACACCATTAGAATACTGCTGAATACTGACATAACACTCCTACCATCAGTTTTATTTTTACAGTACGACATCCAGACAAATACAACCTGCTTTTATTCTGTTTTTTAGTTTAAACACAACTTTACAACTTTTATTCATTCCATTGTGAATTAATAAGATTCACAAGATGACAAATTTTAATAATGCAGCTGATAGGTTTCACAACCTCTGCATTGGTCATTGTAATATTCAAGGAGGGCTTCTCAATTTAGCTAAAAGTAATGAACTTTCCCAACTTATTAGAGATCATAAATTAGACATACTTTCCCTAAATGAGATGAATCTTAATGATACTATTGACACAGACACCATAAATATTCCTTCCTCCTTCAACCTTATGCGATGCGACAGGCCAAACAGTTCTAGGGGTGGTTGTGGCTTAATGATAAACAAAAAACTAGCTTACACAGAATTAGTTATGGATAGTAAGCTTGATAACATTGAAGCATTATGGGTGAAGCTTAAGAATAGCAAGATCAATGTTTGCTGCTTCTATCGCTCTGGAAATTATTGCAGTGTTGATAACTTTATTGAATACATTCATTTTTGCATGAAAAAATTGAATGGGAAAAAGGTTATCTGGATTGGGGATATAAACATTGACCAGAATAATATCTCATCCACCCAGTACAAAAAATTAGATATGACCTTGAGATGTTACAATCTAGTTCAAACCATTCAAGGGATAACTAGAGTTGCTAAACGTGGAGACAATGTTACCCAGACTACTATTGATGTAATATTCACTAACTGTTATGCAGATTTTGTCCAATCTTCTGTTCTTGATGAACGTATTGGAGATCATCAAGCTATTATGTGTGAGATAGATTGTAAAGTACCTATAGCTCCTAAATTTGAGAAGGTTGAAATTAGAAATCATTGTAAACGTAATGTTAAACAATTCTTAGACTATCTAGACACCTGTTCTGATTACAGTCCACTATTGGAAAGTACAGATGTTGAAGCTATCACAGCTGGCCTTTGTCATCATATTGAACAGGCATATGCAACCTTCTTCCCTTGCAAGACCATAGAAAGGCATGAAAAGTTCATACACAAACCTTCTACTGAACTTTTATATGCCATTAATCATACACATTTTCTTCTAAAGAAATTCCGTAAAAAGAAGGATAAGAGAGACAATGGAAATTGCAATAAATGTGGTACATGTAGCAAATGTATAAAGTGTAATGAGGCCTGGGATTGCTACAAGATTCAGAGAAATATTAGAAATAAATTAGCTAAAACCTGCAAAAAGGCTAATGTAATCGATGATCTACAAGTTAAAAGTGCCAAGAATGATCTTAAAGGGATATGGAAAACTATCAAACTGGCATCAAATATGACCCCTGGTACAACTAATTGTCAAACTATCAATGAGAATGATCCTGAGCTATTTAACTTTCATTTTGCAAATGTTGGATCAAGATTACAAAATCAGGCCCCCAATATTGAAAGAGTTAGTTTTACTGATTTTTTACCTCCTAGAACTTCTAATATCTCATTTGATAGATTCCAAGAAATAAATGAAACTGATATCCTAATGTATGTCGAAACGCTCAAGAATGACAAGGCCTCATATGACAATGTGCCTCTATTTTTACTTAAGCAAGCTGTACCACACATAGTTGAGCCACTGACCCACATTGTCAATCTGAGCCTTAATACAGGTGTTGTACCAACCCTTTGTAAAAAAGCTAGAGTAACTCCCATCCATAAGGCAGGAATGAAAGATGATCCTAATAATTACAGGCCAATATCCATCCTTCCACTTGTAGGAAAACTTATAGAATACTTTGTCGGCAAGCAACTCACTGATTACATGGAAGAGAACAAACTTTTCATCCGGCATCAATATGGCTTTCGGAAAAATCACTCCACAACTTATCTGATGTACGATCTGATGGACGAAATATATATGAGTAAATCTAAGTCTTATAAACCAGGAATCATCTTTCTTGATCTTAAGAAGGCCTTTGACACAGTGAATCATGAAATATTGCTTCAAAAATTGGCATATTATGGAATTGGTGGCATTGCTTTAACCTGGTTTAAGAACTTCTTATCTTGTAGATATCAATGCACTAGGATCAATGGCAATCTAAGCTCATTTTTAGAAGTTCTGAGTGGTGTACCACAAGGAAGCATCATTGGGCCTATATTATTTAGTATCTTCATAAATGACATCATTTATGCCTGTAACCTATCTAAGCCCTTTCTATTTGCAGATGATGGTGCACTATTCTTTGATCAAACCTGCAGAAGCACATTTATAAACATGAAAATAGAACTTATGACAATCTTTAAATGGCTCAGTGTTAATAAATTATCACTCAATGAAAAGAAGACTGAATTCCTATTGTTTGATTCTGTTGACCAACATGATGAAATAACCATTGATTGTAATGAGGTAACTTTCACAATCAAGGAGTGCAAAGAGACAAAATATCTTGGCCTCATTCTAGATAGTAAATTAAACTTCAAAAGCCATGTAGATTATATTATTAGGAAGGTCATGAAGAGAATTGGTGCCATGTATAGAAGTAAAGCACTGCTACCCATTAAATATAGGAAAATGTTTGCCAATGCACTCATGTTGCCACAATTCGATTATTTAGACACGATCTATTGTAGAGCTGGCAAGACAAAACTTGCTGAACTTGACACTCTGTACAAAAAGGTAGCCAAAATAGCTCTCAACGTTCCAAAAACAGAGAGCAGCCTTAATGTTTATAGAGACATGAAATGGTTACCACTCCATCTTAGACGACAACTCCATCTGTCAAATTATATGTTTAGAATCATCCATGACAATTGTCCTACAAACTTTATGAACAAATTTAGTTACATATCAGGAGGTAGTAGGAGCGGCGAAAGCTGCAACCTTTATGTCAATAGATCAACATCACATAAAAACTTTCAATACTTGGGGGCAAAATGTTGGAATAATGTTCCAACAGATCTACGAAATCTGCCCGATGTTAAAAGCTTTAGTGATTCGTATAAGAAACAGCTACTATCATCTATAACAACAGACCCTAATTATACCGTCGACAATTCATAT